GTTTCTCCATTTTCCAGCTTTTCTACATTAAATACTGGAAGTTTACCTTCTCTTTTTTAATGACCACTTTTGTAATAAGAAAAGGGACATATTAAAACAGGTCAGTCTGTAGTATAGTGAATCCAAAATGGGTCACATTTTACTTGTCTCCTGCCAGTTCACTAGTTAGCGATCTCTGCTGGGATCCTTGCCAGAGAAAGTCTTCCACTTTGGTACTTGGCTTCACCATGCTCCCATGAATAAAATTGTTTCTGGCAAGGTCTGGAGTGTGTGGATAAGGTGTGGAGGTCCTGGAAGTTTGTGATGGGATGGCTAATCAAAATAACCTGCTACCTCAGGACCAGGGTTGAAGTGAAAGTTTTAGGACACAGAGCTCTTCTCCAGTTCATACACCTACCTTCCCCATCACCTGTGTCCATTTTTTAGTTCAAGAGTCTTTACACTTATAAAGTTTCCTTTTATAAATTTTGAGGGTGGAGAACCTGGACCAAAGCCTGGTTGTAAAGAAAAACCTTCTATTGCCACCACCAGCCACTCTCAAGGCAGAACTAAAAAGAAACAATCCAGTATTTCCTCTTTGTCACCAGGGTAGTAGCAGACTCCCATTGCTATAAAAGGCTATGTAGGTTTTGACTAGCTCTTCATGTAGACCCAGCTGACTGCGACCAATCAGGAAAGATGCTGTAAGAAATGTTTATTCTTTCCACTACTATCAACTTGCCATCAGCACGTCCTCAGTAACTGTGTTCCAAATTGGAAGAAGTATGAAATATTCAATACAAATGACATGGCACACGGTCTCACCTCTGTAAACTTGGTTTGAGTGTTTCCACTGAGCACTAGGATAAAAGTTTAAGTTTTACTTCATTTGTCTCTATTCTACTTCTACTTTCCAGGCTTAGCTCAATACCTCCTCCTCCAAGACATCTTCGTCAGGATCCATCCTTTGTTCCTTGGGGCTTTTGTGGCATTTAGGTGAAGCCCCGTGGCAGCGTCACCATGCCCTGCCCAATGTTTACAGACATTATGTCACATGGAGTTACAGGCGGCAGTAGCCTTGGGATCAACAGCTTTGGGATGATAGCAAGATACTTAGCATCTCTGAACTTTGATTTCATCATCTACTGAATGGACTAATAATGTTGACTTTATACAGTTAATCAGAAAAGAAGAGGTGAAGAAATGGTAGTAGTCATAATTATTTGAAGGCAGACATTGCATTGTATTCACTTTCTTCCTAACTGTGCCCAGTTCAGTGCTTTGCACTTAGGAAGAGGTTACTAAATAGTTAATATTGTTGAACAAAAGTTGAAAGGGCTTATGTACTTTATTGTGTCATACACAATCATTTCCTCAAGCCACATTCAGGTTTTTCACACTTGCTTCCAGTTTTCACACTTGCAGAGCAATTTAATCTCTTTCCCCCTCCCTCCTTCTCCCCTCTCTTTTCTTTCCTTCCTTCCTTCTTTCCTTCCTTCCTTCCTTCCTTCCTTCCTTCCTTCCTTCCTTCCTTCCTTCCTTCCTCTAGACTTCAAGTTATAGGCTTATTTTATTTTTTTTAAGTTTATTTATTTATTTTGAGGGGGGAGAGGCAGAGAGAGGGAGACAAGAGAATCCCAAAAAGCTCCACACTGCCAGTGTGGAGCCAACTCGGGGTTCCAACCCACAAACTGTGAGATCATGACCTGAGCCAAAACCAAGAGTCTGCCACTTAACCGACTGAACTACCCAGGCACCCCTCAAGTTGTAAGCTTTTTAAAAATTGAACTACAATTGACATACAATATCCTATTAGTTTCAAGTATACCTAATAGTGATTCTATATTTTTATACATTATGAAATGTTTCCCATGTTAAGTATAGTTACCATCTATCACTACACAGAGTGGTTACAAAATTACTGACTATATTTCCTATGCTCTATGTTACATTCCCATCACTTACTTATTTTATAATTGCAAGTTTCTACCTCTTAATCTCCTTCACGTATTTTGGTTGCCCCCCAACCCTTACTCTAGTAACCAACAGTTTCCTGTATCTATGAGTCTGTTACTGTTTTGTTTGTTTGTTCATTTGTTTTGTTTTTTAGATTCTGCATGTAAGTAAAATCACATGGTATTTGTCTTTCTCTGATTGGCTTATTTCACTTAGCATAATACACTTGAGGTCTATCCACGTTGCAAATGGCAAGATTTCATTCATTTTTATAGTTGAGTAATAGGGCTCGTCTTTCTTAAACACAGAAATTCTCTGGATGATGCCAAGGATATGAGAATGGCACTTTAATATATTTGTTAATAAAGCATCATAAATCTTACTTTTTTTTCAGAGATAAAATACCTTTGTAAGATTCTGTGCTTCTTCCCAGAGCTCTGCACGTTTGAATTAGTTGAATTATAGTATAGTGAATTAGAGTCAGGTTTTCTGGTTTAAATTATGGCTTTCCCACTAGCTCACTGTGTCAAATTACTTAACCTTTCTGTGTCTTAGTTTTCACATCTTAAAAGAGCGTTCATACTAGTAGTATTTATCTTAGAGACTTGAGATGATTGAATGAAAATATAGTACCTGGCACATGGTAGTTGCCATATAAGTATTAGGTATTGTTTTTATTCTTAGAAATAATGTCTCCAAAGTCTCTTTCCTGCTGCATTGAATGTGCTATGAGGCCAAAGATTTCATCGACTTTGTCTGCTGTTAATTGAGTTCCCTGAAAATACCTCCAAACGGGCTTATAGTCTAGCTCTCCCTCTTTTTTTTTTGTCTTAAAAGTGTTTTTATTTGCACATGCAATTTTTTGAGAAAGAGTTAATATGGCTGACCACCCTTTCTTGAGCTTTTTGGGTTTTATTTTAAAGGTTAAATGAGTTTGGGGGAGGAGATGGTGAGGAAAATATTCCTCCTTCTTTCCTTCTTTCCTTCCTTTTCTTTCTTTCTTTCTTTCTTTCTTTCTTTCTTTCTTTCTTTCTCCTTCCATCCTTCCCTCCTTCCTCTCTCTTCCTCCTTCCCTGCTTCCTCTTTCTCTTTTCTTTTTTCTTTTCTTTCTTTCTTTCTTTCTTTCTTTCTTTCTTTCTTTCTTTCTTTCTTTCTTTCTTTCCCTCCTCTCATATCCTCTCCTTCTCACCTTTTCCAATTCTCTCTCTTTCTTTTTTGATTCTCCAATCTTAGTGATCCAAGGGAAAGGCTAAAAACAGTGCCTTCCAAGAGTTCATTTGCAGCAGTCTTTGGTTTAACCTGGGAAAATCCCTAGCTGTCCGGCAGGAAAGTTGTAACTCTTGCCTTTAGGAGGCGCTGTTTGTCAGAGTTATCCTAAACCTGGAAAAGGGAGGGGGAGAGACCGTCAAGGGAGCTATGACGTGAGCAGGAAGTTAATTATCAAGTTACCCGAACCGGGACATCCAGTTTTCACTTGCATAGGCAGAAAGTCTTGAGTTCTCTTCCCGCGCAAATGGGAGCTTCCCTGGAACGTGGATTACACAGAGAATTTTAATTTCTTAAAAACTTGTTTTCAGGCAGTTTCCCCCGGAACCATTTACCTCCAGAGGACGAGCGGAATTTGATCTGAAGGTATGTGATTAGCACCTTTCCCCTGCTGAGGTCTTACACGCTAGCCTTGTTCCTTCCTTCAGTTTTAGAAACTTGCAAAAGCTTTCGTTGTCAGCAATGGCACTGTTTCTGCCGGGATTTATTAGCCATGCCAGGGAAAATGAAGGTTTGAAAAGTCCCAGGAAAGCTCCAACACAGACTTCTACTGGCAGAAATATGCTAGTCCACAAATGGAGACAAAGTCTGTTAGACTCACTAAAGTTCTAGATTGGAATCTTCTGGAAACTTCAAGGCAAACGTATGCTACCTTGGAATAGGAAGACATCTCCAAAAAGCCATTCATTTGGTTTCTGGTATCACAGGCTGCTACTAGAAGGAAAGACCCCATGGATGATCACATTAAAAATAGCATTTTCTATTTTCTTGCTCTCTCTTTCTAAAAATAAGCTCTATGCCCAATGTGGGGTTTGTTCTCACAGCCCTTAGATGAAGAGTTGCATGCTCTTCTGACTGAGCCAGACAGGCACCTCTCTGTTTTCTTTTTCTAACAACAAAAGTAATGTGTGTTTGTTGCAGAAAATCTGAGAAACTCAGAGAGGAGCCTGGAAGAAAAGTTATTTGTAATTATACCACTTAGGTATAACCATTTTTTGTTATCGATATTGTGTTTTGTTTTGTTCTTTTTCCTTTAGAAAGTGGTTTCTTGTTTCTAAATAGCTCAGTTTCGAGAAGAGAGTATATACCTTGAGGTCTTATAGTACGAATTATATTACACTGAAAAATTTTATCACTTCATTGCTCCTTTGATTCGAATGGAATTTGGAATAGAAAATACCATATGAACTTTATGAACTAATCCGGTAGAAATCTTGATTTAGGTAATTTGTGACTTCCTTCACTGATCTGAGCAACTCTTGTTTAAAACCACCCTTTGGAGTCTAGGATTATGGCTTCTCTTTTTTGTGATATACAAACCTGTCCCATTATGGTTAGCAGTGTTACCTCATCCTTCAATTGGTAGACACTTATGAAATATAAAACCCGAGACTGCTTTATTTCTAAAATGAAAGGCATAAATCTGAGCACTATTTCTGCCATTTGGTGGAAGTGAATTAAGAGCTCTAACAGGGAGAAATTGTGCTTTGTCATTCTCCCTTTTGACTAGCGCCCACCAGGGGCATTTTGATTTGGGAGAAATAAAAGTAGGTTGAGTTCCAAAAAGAGCTCCTTCCAGACCTCCAGAAGGGTTAACATAGAAGTGCTGTGGTTGAAGGTTGGTGGTTTTTTTTTTTTTTTTGCCTATTGGTTTTTGAAATAATTTCACAGGAATTTTTATTTTTCAGCACTTCCAGGAAATTCTAATGCCTGGCATGGAGGAGGCCGGGGAAGTGGGGTTCTGTGGATCCTTTTTCTCTTATGTGCTGCCCCACTTCTCTGTCTCTTTCAGGCTGGCCATGACATCTCAAGGTCAAAGTTTGAGGTTCCGTTCAGATGATAATTGTCAAGTGAACTTCCGTGAGAAGCTTCTGATTATTGATTCAAACCTGGAGGCCCAAGATGTGGAGGGCTTGAAGTTTCTCTGCCGAGACTGGATCTCCCACAAGAAGCTGGAGAAGTCCAGCTCAGCCTCGGATATTTTTGATCATCTGTTGGCAGAGGAGCTGCTGAGTGAGGAAGACCCCTTCTTCCTAGCAGAACTCCTCTATACACTCAAACAGAATTCGCTGCTGCGGTACCTCCGCCAAAGCAGAGAGCAAGTGGAGAGTTTGCTGCCCACCCGAAGGAGGGTCTCTCTGTTCAGGTGAGGAGGGGTCTGTGATCAAGACAGGGGGGTTTTTCCATCTAGCTAGTGTTCATTCGGGCCACTGGGCTTTGAAAGGAGGTTGGGATTAAGATCTTTTTCTTATCTACCTCCTTGGATGCTTCTGAACCAGGAGATCTCTCAGCTTCCAGCACTAATGAGATGAAAAGTTGGGAGGTCAGCAAAGCTCTGGGCCTGGTAGTGGCTTCCCTTGGTTTGCTTCTCACCGCCAAATGAAGCCTGCCTCAGCATAGCAGGGCCCGTGCTTTCCTTTTACCCTCTGTACTCCCAGACAGCCCTTCCTCCTGTGAGTCATTGCGGGGATTTGAGAGGAGATAATGCATGCGTGGGGCCAAATAAGCAAAATGAAAAAGGGGATGTGTCTCTGAGGTAGGGAAGGACACCATTTATGCCATGTCCAGTTTTAAATGTTCATACCCTTTTGTATGAAACCCAGAAGGGTAAAATATAGACGTTTTACACAAGGGGTGAAATATAGGGATCAGGTTTATAATGGGTCAGACCTTAGATAACACTATTTTTTTTCATTTAATTAAAAAAAATTTTTAATTGAGATATAATTGACCTATAACATTGTAATAGTTTTAGGTATACCACATAATGATGGGATATATTTATATATTGTGAAATGATCACCACAGTAAGTTTGACATCCATCACCACACATAGTTACAGTTTTTTTGCTTGTGGTGAGAACTTTTAGAATCTTCTTTTTTAGCAACTTTTAAATATATAACACAGTACAGTGACCCTTGAACAATGGGGGGTTAAGGTGCTGATCCCCACACAGCCAAAAATCCAGCAAAACTTTGGAGTCCCCTCCAATTTCACTACTACTGTTGACCAGAAGCCCCATAGATAACATAAACAGTTAACACATATTGTGTATGTCACATGTATTATATACTGCATTCTTAAAATAGAATAAGCTAGAGTAAAGGAAATGTTATTAAGAAAATCATAAGGAAGAGTAAATACATCTATAGTACTGTACTGTATTTATCCAAGTTCAAGTGGACCCTTGCAGTTAAAACCTGTGTTGTTCAAGGGTCACCTGTGTTGTTTAACTGTAGTCACCATGTTGTACAATACATCACCAGGACTTAGTCAATACGGTTTTTAATTGTCCACTGATGTATCTACATTAGAGAACTTCCCAAGGAAGAGTTGAAGTGTTATTTTGTGGCTGGGGTGACTAGAATCCTTCAGGTCTCCCTCCTTGAAGTGGCTCCCAGAATCTGAGCTATAGTTGAGTCAGTGAGGGAATTCTGGAAGTCATTATTTCCACTCCGCTGGTTAAGATCTCCAGCATACAGAGGTGTTAGTGTGTGAATGGAATGTTCAGCTTTTCTGGTGGTCAGATACATGACTCTCCAGAAGTTGGGATAGTTTCCTTTTTTTTCAACCATGGACTTTCTATAGAATGGTATCAAGTCCTCTCTGACGAGGGCCTATAAAGTAAGCCTGAATTCCTAGAATGCGGTCAGGAGATGGGAAGGCATGCCAACATTGAGTTTTACATCTTCCTAGTGGGATGGAAAGTAGCACTGGACTTGGCATCAGAAGGACTGCCTCTACTGCTTATTATGTTATCTTTATGTAATAGACCACTTAAAGCTTAGAGTTTTAGTTTTGAATCTATACAATGGGATTTGAAATTATCTGCTCACAGGGTGTGATCATTCAAATGAGAGAAAATGTGTATAAAAAAGCACTCAATTTACTGTGCTGTCCTTTGCAAGTGTGAGGCTTTACTTGTCTCTCTGGATGTATGTCTTAGAAACCTGCTGTACGAACTGTCAGAGGGAATCGGCTCAGAGAACTTAAAGGACATGGTCTTCCTTATGAGGGAATCGATTCCCAAAATCCAGATGGTAAGTGGGTCATAAAGAGTGGGGTATTTGTGAGCACTGCCTTTTAAAAAAAATGTTTATTTATTTTTGAGAGAGAGAGAGAGAGAGATTGTGAATAGGAGAAGGTCAGAGAGAGAGAGAGGAAGACTGAGAATCCCAAGCAGGTTCCATGCTGTCAGCACAGAGCCTGAGTTGGGGATTGAACTCAACAAACTTTGATATCATGGCCTGAGCCAAAATCAAAAGTCAGACGCTTTCCTGACAGACCCATCCATGTGCCCTTGTGAACACTGCCTTAATCAGTGTTGGGAATATGCTGGAAAGAGTCTTCAAGAAGGGTTTATATTTGTAGGAGATGATACCATACAGTGCTTAGGAACATTGACTTTGGTGTTGGATGGGCCTGGATTCTAGTCCTGGTTCTGTGACTAATGCCTCGATGTGGGGCAAGTGAGTGAACCTTTCTGAGTCTCCATTTTCTCATGTGTCATATTGTAGATAATTACACTACTTCCTTCCAGGACTGTTGGGAGAATTGGATGAAATAATGTGGGTAAAACTTTAGGGGCCTGTATTTGGCACATAGTAATCAGGTAGTAAATTGTTAACTTCTATTGGCACCCACTGTGTTTTACCATATAGAAATGTGTCGGGCACAGTAAGGAAATGAGGAGGTGGGTGGGTGGGGTAGGTCAGATGAGGACTACGTAAGGAATTCATTAAATATATTTCCTGGTGTTAGACCTGTAGACCCGAACAGGTTCATTTTGTTTAGGCTACAGTTTTTTAAGATCTTTTTTTTCCTCTTTCATACCCCTCAGGGATTTTACCCTCTGTGTCTTTTGATTAGTCACTTATGGAGGCTCCTGTCTTCTAAAAGCTGGGTGTGGGTTCCTTGGAGTTGGTGACCAAGTCTTACTCATTGTTATAGCTCCAGAACCTTGTAGAATCTGTTACAAAATGGTGCTCTGAATGAAAGCATGAATGAATGGAATGATACAATCTTTCCCTTCTCTTTCTGAGAAAATGGCCTGGACCCTTGCTTTTATGTGATTTTATGATGAATGACTGGAGAGATTAGCAGGACGAACTAAGCCACCCTAATGGGGTTGTGCAAAGATACACTAATAACATTCTTATACTTGTTGCCCCTTGTCACAATCTACTAATTTTTTCCCTTAGATACTCTCTGGAAGTTCTGATATCTTTCTTTTTTTTTTTTTTTTTTTTTTTTTTTTTTTTTTTTTTTTTTTTTTACACTTTTTTCTTTTATCTTTTTATTCTTAAAAAAACCCTCAACAGGGGCGCCTGGGTGGCGCAGTCGGTTAAGCGTCCGACTTCAGCCAGGTCATGATCTCACGGTCCGTGAGTTCGAGCCCCGCGTCAGGCTCTGGGCTGATGGCTCGGAGCCTGGAGCCTGTTTCCGATTCTGTGTCTCCCTCTCTCTCTGCCCCTCCCCCGTTCATGCTCTGTCTCTGTCTGTCCCATAAATAAATAAAAACGTTGAAAAAAAAATTAAAAAAAAAAAAACAAAAAACCCTCAACAAAACACAAGTGTAGAAAAATGAATAAAATACACATACAGATTAAAGAATTGTTATAAGGCTAATCCTCTTGAAACCACTACCCAGGTCAAGAATTTGAATTTTGCCAGCTGTTCTAGAAACCCCTCCACTTGTCCCATTCCAATCACAGCCCCTTACTTACCACCCGCTAGAAGAAACCACTGTTTTGGCTTTTATGGTAACAATGTTCTTAGGTGTCTTTACGCCTTTATCATTTACCTGTGCATCCCTAGATGTCAAGTTTAGTCTTGGCCAGTTTATTTCTTTTGAGTGTCTTTTAATCTGTAGGTTAAACCCCTTCCCGCAATCCCTTTCTTTTTCTTAAAATGTGTCTGTTGAAGAACCCCAGGACACCTGGCCAGTAGAATTTCCCCCAGTCTGAGTTTTGCTGATTGCGTGTGCTTGGTACAGTTCAATGTGCTCCTCTGTCCCCTGTATTTCCTGCAAATCGGCAGCTGGATTCAGAGTCTGAATGTCTCCACATTGATTTCCTGTAGTTTGAAAGTGCTCCAGATTATTCTGATAATATTTTCTCCTAGCTTGGAACATCCTCTTGTGATTTCTCTAGTGTCTGGATTTATAAATAAAATGAACCCACTCTCTGTGGTTACACTTCTCTCTGCGTCATGGACAGAAGTCCATACTCCCCACAGCAGGATGAGGGATGAGGAGATGGGCAGGAATCCCTGATATGCTCCACACCAAGCCGTGATTTTCTACTAGGAAAAACTGGGGGATGTATTTCTTCTTGTACTTCCTCCATGGGTTTTAGACCTTAGCTTGCAGGCATCTGTGGTTGGTTGCCAGAAGTATTCCAAACATTTTGCCCCCTGCTAAATTAGCTTTTAAGTCATTGAAGGCCCATGTTCAGGCAGCCAAATGATTTTATGCTTTTCTTATTCAGTACAGGAGTAAAGGGAGAAATCACTGTATTTCGCTGTGGCATAGAACTATGGAAATACCCGGTCAGATTCAGGAAATCACACTTCCTTCTTGGGTTCCAAATGAGCTCAGCTTTATTTCGAAGGAGATCTATTTTGCCATGTGAGAATTGTGGGTGAGTTATATACCTGAGATAATCCAGGTTGATCTCAACTGGACTTTGAGATCAGGCTAGCCTTCTGAAGTATGTAAAGGACAGTCTCTAAGCAGCTAGATGAGTTTCTATATGGGGGCTTAATAAGACTCCATTATCTGCAGTTGCCATTGCAAAAACTTTTGTTACTGAAATAAATTATTTAGCAGCTGGGTGGGGGGGGGGCCTGAACTTCCCTCAGTCAAAAAAGGAAATGTTTTAAATTCACACAGTCTCTCCAGAGTTAGAGAAATGACCTTTGTAGGGTGTTCTAGGGCTCCTTTTTGATAACTTTCTACAGGTTCATAGCAGAATAGCTGTCTTTACACATGCTGAAAGACTCAAACAACAGTCCGGAAATCCGTTCTCAGAGTAGCAATCAACTTAGGACGTTGGATGTAAAGGAAACCACACCCAAATCTACTAGCTTAGCAAAGGAGCACAACAAAAGAGGTTTCAGACACTTCCTGCTAGTATTAACCAGAGTGGTGTTCTTAAAGTACAGACCCCATTTAAATTGCGTGGTGTGTGTGTGTGTGTGTGTGTGTGTGTGTGTGTGTGTAGAAGGTGTCATTTACCAAACATCCAATGAACTTTCCACGAAGTTATAATGAATTTCTATCATTGCTTCTGGAATCGTGTCTTAGTCCCTTTTCTTCACCCTTAGTAGAATGCTGTCAAAAATGGGGTTTCGGGGTGCCTGTGTGGCTCAGTCGGTTAAGCATCCAACTTCAGCTTGGGTCATGATCTCACAGTTCATAAGTTTAAGTCCACATTGGGCTCCAAACTGATGATGTGGAGCCTGCATGGGATTCTCTCTCCCTCTCTGCCCCTTCTGTGCTCTCTCTCTCTTTTTTTTTTTTTTTAAATTTTTTTTTTCAACCTTTATTTATTTTTGGGACAGAGAGAGACAGAGCATGAACGGGGGAGGGGCAGAGAGAGAGGGAGACACAGAATCGGAAACAGGCTCCAGGCTCTGAGCCATCAGCCCAGAGCCCGACGCGGGGCTCGAACTCACGGACCGCGAGATCGTGACCTGGCTGAAGTCGGACGCTTAACCAACTGCGCCACCCAGGCGCCCCAAGTGCTCTCTCTCTTAAAAAGAGATAAACTTAAAAAAAAAAAGAAAGTTTAAAAAAATGGGGTTTCTGTTTTGAGGTTCAGAGAGAGCTCATCTGCCTGTGACCTACCACAGACCCTTGTGTGGTAGATTCCTTCTGACCCCTTTGCCCAGCTGATCAGCTCTGGATGAATCTTCCTGCACGTGCTCCTCTCTCCTGCTTTATTCCTGGGCCAAGCTATTGGTGTGCTAGGGCTGCAGGTGGGGGCACACACACTTCTTTTATTTATTTATTTGTTTTTGAGAGAGAGGGTGCAAGTGAGCAAGGGGCAGAGAGGGAGAGAGAGAGAATTCCAAGCAGGCTCCACACTGTCAGTGCAGAGCCTAGTATAGGGCTTGAACTCATGAACTGTGAGATTATGACCTGAGCTGAAATCAAGAGTCAGATGCTTAACTGACTGAGCCACCCAGGAGCCCTGTCTCTGGAATGTCTTAAAAAATTATAATCTCTCTTTGATCAGATGAGAACAGAAATCAAGTAATCAATTCTGTTCTTTTCCTTGGTTGTTGACATCTTGAGTGCCTTATTTGAAAACACACACACACATACACACACACTCAGTAACCCTTCCTCATCCTTATATTATTGCTCTTTCTCCCTGCCTCCCTCTACTGCCAAGCTTCTTGAAAGAATAGTTTGTATGTGCTCTTTCTCCACTAAGTCAACTCTGGGTCACATATCAATGCATTTCAATATGACTTCAACTTCCACCACTCCAATGAAACTGCTCGTACTGAAGCCAACATGAACCTCCTCATAACCAGATTTGTAGTTTCACATCACTTTTCCCAAGTGGTTTTCTTTGCCTGGAATGTCCTTTTCCACGCTGGCAGTGAAGACATAGTCATCCTTCAAGAATCCCCTCCCAGGGGTGCCTGGGTGGCTCAGTCATTTAAGCATCTGACTTTGGCTCAGGTCCTGATCTCACAGTTTGTGAGTTTGAGCCCCGCATTGGGCTCTGAGCTGAGAGCTCAGTGCCTGGAGCCTGCTTCAGATTCTGTGTCTCCCCTTCTCTCTGCCCCTTCCCTGCTCATGCTCTATCTCTCTCTCTCAAAAATAAATATTAAAAAAAATAAATGAAAAAAAAGAGTCCTCTCCCATGTGCAGCTTTTGTGAAGCCTGCTATGCGGAATAGACGAATGATGAATAAATGAGTGATACTGCCATTTGAAGTCATCTTTTTCACCCATTCCCAATTGATCTCCACAACTCACCAAATTCTATTTCAGAAATGTTTCTCAGGTCCAGTACCTCTTGCCAATATTTTCTCTCTAATCCACTTCCTTCTCCAACCTATTTCAAAACTTCTGCTAAAAATAAACGTAGTCATGTTACTGTCCTCCTTAAAAACTATTTCTGCCACTCCTTGACGCGTGGGACACTTGGCCCAAACTCCTCATATACTGTATGTCCCTGCGTGGTCTGATACCAGCCCGCAGTTCTAGCCATGATCTAGCTCTCACTCAGTGTTTGTACTCAAGCTTCCTTCTCAGTGTTCCTGAACACACTGTCCCTTTTTAACCATTCAACTGTTCCATGTATCTGGAGACTTCTCCCCAGTTCCCACTCTGCTGATGCTTAATGTATGCAGTGGGATAGTGTCCAGAGATTCCTTTCTAAGCAGGTATTCTTTTCTGTGGGCTCTAATGTAATTTTGTCCCTGCATATTTTTCATAACCAGCTTAATACATTGAGAAGCCTTATTTACTGAAAAGAATATGATACCTTCCACCCCACATGTATTTCAATATTAAAATAATACTAGCTGATTTGTGTTTTTTTCCCAGCAGTATTTAAGAAATTTTTTTTTTCTTTTCAAATACCAAATATTTGCCTCTTGTTTTTTTGGTGCTTCTGTTTTGCTGCTGCCCTAATCTAATTATATCATTTACAGCTCTAAGTGACGGGCAGTCTAGCTCAATGGTTAGTTAATAAGAGAGACTTTGACATCAGACTGCCAGGTACAGATACCAGCCCTGCCACTTATTGGCTCTGTGACCTTGGACAAATAACTGATTGAACCTCAGTTATTTCATCTTAAAATGTGGATTATAATAGGATCTAGGCTCATTGGCTTGTTTTTGAGGTTAATGTACAGCAAGCACTGCCTGGTATGTAGTGAGTTACATATATTTGGTATTAATATAGATTGTATATTTTACTTGGTAATCCACCTTCCCCCATACGATTGAACCCCTCAGGGGCAAACACTCTGCCTTATTCATCATTGCAAAATCTAGTGACTAGAGGCCATGCAGGTAATGTTTAAAGAATGAATGGATCCTCAGAGGGCAAGTAAATGTGACTCCATTGATTCTCTTGCAGACCTCTCTAAGTTTCCTGGCATATCTGGAGAAACAAGCTCTAATAGATGAAGATAATCTGATGTTACTGGAGGATCTCTGCAGAAAAGTTGTACCTAACCTTATGAGAAAGATAGAAAAATATAAGAGAGAGAAAGGTAACTAGCTTACTTACACTTGGTTCTTTGCACAAGACCATGGGAATTCTTAAACTAACTGATCATTAATGATGTTTACTCATCACTCTGATGATACTGTCTTAGAAAAGCCAGAACTCTCTCCCCATCTGCTCATTTAAGACATATTTATTGAATGCGAACTATTTATTGAACTCTGTACTAGGCAGAGTTTTAGAAGTTGGAGACACAGTAGTGTATACAGCAAAGCTTCTGCTGTCTTGGATCTTATATTCTAATGAAGAAAAGTTTTAGATAAATGTCTTTTTCTCATTCATCCGTGGGGCGAGAGTAGAGAAAATAATTTTGAATGAAATAACAAAAAAGAAGGAGGCAGAATAGCATAAGGATGAAGAATGAGGTCTATGGAGTCAGATTGCCAGGACTCCACTTATTAATGATTCAGTGGTTCTTTTCTTAGCCTTTCTGTGTTTCACTTTCCCCATCTGTAAACTGGGGATAATAATACTATCTACCTCATGAGTGTTTTGAGAACTGAATGAAGTAATTCCTGTAAAATGCATGTCTGGCATAGCGTAAAACATGTTGCTATGAATATGTTTGTCAGAAATTCATGAAAACGTTCATATTCTCAGAAATTACTAACAGAGAAGAATTTTATTTCCTTGTTTTTTTCTTTAGTCCTGTCTTGTAAAGGTTGTATTGCTGTCGTATTATATGGAGGTAATAGCACAGCGTGGAAGTCAAAGCTGGTTGGTAAATATTTGTGTTTTTCCAGGTCTGTTTCTCTAGTGTTAAACAAGAGCTGAAATAAAAATGCATGAGTAGCTTTAATGCCACACCCATATTTTAGTTCAGTGAGTTAATCTGGTGTGCAAATGTCTTTGGTTGAAAACGAAACTAGCTAAAAGGAAACTTCTAAGAATTCTATAAATACACAATGAGTTGAGGGACAAAATATACTGTTGTTAAATTGATAAAATCTCAAACAATAATAAGGCAATGAATAAATGTATAATTTAAGTAAAAGTTATGAAAAATAAAAATGATTCTTCTAACCAAAGTTATCAAGTGAGAAATAAAAAGCAGGGAGTTGATATCGAAAATACATTTGGAATCATTACTGAATTCTGAATGCAGAGATTTTTTTAAAATTACATTTGCTATTTTCCTGTAGCTAGTACCCCACACAAAATGAACAGGGTAGGTGGTCAAATTATTTTGGATATTTGAACTCTGGAGAAGGCACTCTAGTGTTTATGTAGTAAATGCCTCAGTGAATCTTGAAGCCTGAGCTTTATATCAGAAGAAGAATTCTAATTTTGATTTTTCTTTTCTACAACCTACCTGCTGTGTGATCTCTTTTGGGTGTCAAAATAAAAAAAAAAAAAGTTTTCCTCTACTATTATCACACCAACACTTCTGGAACACTTCTGACCTAGATGGGTATGATTTTTTTATACCAACCAATTCTCTAATTCTCTGTAGACACCAACTTGGTGTCCTATGATTTAATTCAATTCTGACAGTAACCAGAGTTAGTACACACCTTAACTAAATTAGGCTAAAGGCTCAGTGCCCTAAGACTGCCCCCTACTTCTGATGCCAGTCACAAGTTAGTGGGTCCCCAGAATACTCACGGCTTGTATCCAACTTGGCTACAAACTGATGGTTCCCATGAGCCCCTCCTCAGGTTCAGTAATTGGCTAGAAAAGCTCACAGAACTCAGGAAAACAGTTTACTAGATTACTTATGTATTATAAAAATATTTGACTCAGGAACAGCCACGTGTAGGAGGAAACGGATAGGGCAAGGTATGGGGGAAGGGAGATAAAGCTTCCAGGCCCTCTCCAGGCAGCTCACTCTCTCAGCATCTCCACGTATTTGCCAACCTGGAAGCTCTCCAAGCTCCTTCAGTTAGAGATTTTTATGGAGGCTTCATATGTAGGCATGGTTGATTGAATCATTGGCCATTATGATTTATTCAACCTCTAGGCCTTCTCCCTTTCTCAGAGGTCTGAGTGTGGGGTTGAAAGTTCTAATCCTTTGACCACAGGCCTCTAGAGGCTGTCCAGGAGCCCCCAGTCACCAATCATCTTATTAGCATCTTATAGCAAAAGATGCTTAGCACTTCAGAGATTCCAAGGGTTTTAGGAGCTGTGTGCCAGGAAAAGGAGGGCAGAGACCAAATACATATTTATTATTGTATCATAGATATCAATTAATATTTCAGTGTTGACTTTCTGTAGCCCTAAGAGTTTGGGCTTAATTCTGCCATTTAGGATTAAGGACTAAAGGACTGAAAAAATAGTAGGTCTGCAGATTTTAGACTTTTCTGTAAATGAATGTGACCAAAGGCAAAGTCCACTTTTTAAAAAGGTTTATTCATTTTTTGAGAGAGAGAGAGAGAGAGAGAGAGAGAGAGCGTGAGTGGGGGAGGGGCAGAGAGAGAGAGGGAGAAACAGAATCTGAAGCAGGCTTCATGCTCTGAGCTGTCAGCACAGAGCCCAATGCAGGGCTTGAACTCATGAACACGAGATCATGACCTGGCCAAAGTCGGACATTGAACTGACTGAGCTACCCAGATGCCCCACGTCAAAGTCCATTGTATCTGATTAGGACACAAGCTCTATTTAAGGACTGCCTGGATACTTTTCTAAGTTTTCTTGAGTCTTGGTGTTTGCTTTAGTATTTTAAATTTCTTATTAAAAGTAATGTATCATAGTTATAATAAAATTAAATAAACATTCAAATAATGACAATAGAGTTTATCTACTGCTGGCCAGTCCCCAGACCTAATCACTGGAGTATATTTTTGTAGCCTTTCTTCTATATGGAGACAGTTTGTGAGTGTGTGTGTGTGTGTGTAGATAGATAAATACATATATATTTAAATAAAATCATACTAATCATATATAACTTTCTTTATTCCCACCTAATATAGCTGATATTTTCCTATGAACATAATACAGACATAGCTCATTCTTAGTAATGGTTCCATAGAAATAACTTTATATACATAACATGTTTATTATTAAAAAAAAACCCCATATTTATTTAATTACCACTTTTGAGTGTTTTTTCTTGATTTTTTTTTTTTCTTTTCCTCCCTTCCTTTTTTTCTTCTTTATCTTTTTTACTATGGTCTTAGTTCTGCTTTTATTTTTTGAGGTAATGCCTTTGTTATCTCTTCTTGGCCATTATCTGACACATTAAGTACCATACATTCTGAAATAGTATTTAGTACAGTATATGGTAATTTTAAGGAACTAGTAACATTATAAAAAGAATAAAAACACAAAAATAATAAGAAATGAAATATAATAATACAAGGAATGAAAATACAATGATAAAGAAAAACAATTTATAAATTCACATTTTTTTCCTAGGTATATATGTAGACCTCTTTAAGCAAATGGCACCACAAATCTACAGGTCCCTATAAAATAATATCTTGTGATGATTGGTTACCTTGGATTACTACTAGTCAGAAGATGATTTTTGTTTTACTGTCTGTGATTCTATTTCCAGCCTCCCAGGTAGTGACACCTCCTGTTGACCAGGAAACTGAGTCATTGCATCAAGGAGAGGAAGAACTATTTTCCCGTTCAGATGTTAACCAATTCTTTGGAGCCTTACAGGTAGGTTCAATGATGTGTTGGCAAATGTTTAATGACCAGCTCTACTCTCCACCCTCAATTCCCTATCCCAAAAAGAAAGAACAAAAAAGAGAGAGAGGAGAGAGACCCTGATTTGTAGTGTTTGGGGTAAGTGTTCCCATTATGGCTGATTTCAGGTTATTGCAGAATTTCTGAAAATCTGACAAATGGCTCTCACTAGCTGGTTTGAGTTGACTCCAGTACACCACTGGATTGCTTTGAAATGGATTGTTTTATCTGTGCAATTTGATCAAGGCCAGCTTCCTGAATGTACAGCCTGTGCAGTCCCACATTGCCCATGCTTTTCTAATGCTCAGCTGTCACTGTTTTAAAATTCTTAATAATGAGAGCTCCTGGGTGGCTCAGTCATTTGAGCATCTGACTCTTGATTCCAACTCAGGTAATGATCCCAGAGTCTTGGGATAGAAGCCCCATATCGGGCTCCTTGCTGAGCATGGAGCCTGCTTGGGATTCTCTCTCTCTCTCTCTCTCTCTCTCTCTCTCTCTCTCTTTTTCTCTCTCCTTCTCTCTTTGCCCCTCACCTCTGCTCTCTCTTTCCATAAAATAAAAAAAAAATTTAAACAGTTCTTTATGTATGAACAAAGGGCCTCACATTTTATCTTGCATGGAGCCCTACAAATTATGTAGCCTGTCCTTTCCAGAGAATAAGAACTGGGTTCCTTTAGTGCCCAGCAATAGAAGGGTGGATAGAGGGAAAACATTGGGAAATTTGCAATCTGTTTCATTTTCTTTTTTTTTCCTTTTTTTCTCCTCCTCCTCCTCCTCCTCCTCCTCCTCCTCTTCCTCTTTCTCCTCCTCCTCTTCCTTCCTCCCCTCCTCCTCCTCCTCCTTCTTCTTCTTCTTCTTGGTGCTGAAACCTAGGAGCAGTGTGTTTCTTATAACATGATCATGATCCTTGGAAGACACATATGACATTCTTCCCTGGAATTAATGTTTCTTACCAGCAGACTTGGGCAGTTTTATTTTGCTAACATCTATCAGTATCAATGCAGTTATCTTGGCCTTGGAACTTTTTTTTAATTGTGATAAAAGACAACATAAAATTTACTATCTTCATCAGTTTTAAGTGTACAGTTCAGTTCTGTTAAGTACATTTATATTGTTGTATAACCAATCTCCAGAACTCTTTTTATCTTGCAAAACTCAAACTCAATATCTATTAAACAGTAACTCCCCATTCCTCCCTCCCACCAGCCCCTGGCAAACACCATTCCACTTTCTATCTTTGTGAATTTGACTACTCTAGGTACCTCATATAAGTGGATTCATATAGTATTTGTTTTTTGTGACTGGCTTATTTCACTTTATATAATGTCCTCAAGGTTCAACCGTGTCAGAATTTTCTTCCTTTTTAAAGCTGAATAATATTTCATTGTGTGTATGTACCATATTTTGTTTATCCATTCATAAACGAATGCACATATGTTTGATGGACATATGGATTGCATCCACCTTTTGGCTATTGTGAATTAATACTGCTATGAACATGGGTATACAAAATCTCTTTGAGATCATGGTTTCAGTTCTTGTATTTACCCAGAAGATCATGCTTTCAGTTCTGGGTATTTACCCAGAAGGGGAAATGCTGGATCATATGGTAATTCTGTATTTCATTTATTGAGGAACCTTCATACTGTTTTCCATGACAGCTGTATCATTTTTCATTTCCACCAATAAAGCATAAAGGGTTCCAATTTTTCCACAACCTTGCTAACACTTTTTATTTTCTCATTTTTTGATAGTAGTCATCCTAATGGGTATGAGGTGGTATCTCATTGTAATTTTGATTTTCATTTCCCTAATGATTACTGATGTTGAGCATCTTTACATGTGCTTGTTAGCGATTTGTGTTATCCTTCTTGGAGAAATGTCTATTTAAGTCCTTTTGCCCATTTTTTAATTGGATTGTTTGTGGAAGTTTTATTTTTTATTCTTAAAAATTCATTCATAGCTTCTTTACTACTTTCATGGTTTCATATTTTTACAGTTACAATTTTTTATTTTTAAATTTGGAAATAATTTCAATCTTATGGAAAAGTTGACAGAATGTGAGTAATACTAAGAACACTGTGTACTATTTTACCAGATTCACTTACCTGTTGTTGACTTTTACACCATTTGTGTTAGCCTTTGCTTTCTTTCTCTGTCTTTATCTACCTACCTACCTACCTATCTATTTACCTATATATCATCTATCTATTTAAACACACATAATTTTTTTCCAAACTTTTTGAGAGTAGCTTGCACACATCATGACTCTTTACCCCTGAATATTTACTATGTATTTCCTAAGAATAAGGATATTCTTTTAAAACTATAGTACAGTTATTGATGCCACTACAGTTTACTTAATACAATACTTTCACCAAATTGAAGTTCCACATTTCAATTTTTTCTGTTGATCAAATAATATCCTTTATAGCTTTTTCCCCCTCCAACACATAATTTATCTGGGATCATTATTGTATTTAGGTGTCATGTGTCTGTAGTCTCCCTTAATCTTGAACAACTTTTCTTTATGACATTGACATTTTTGAAGAATATAGTCACCCTCACTACCACCTTTTATTAAAAAAATAGAATTGTCCTCATTTTTGGTGTGCGTGGTATTGCCTGTGATTTGTTTCAAGCTTTATATATTCTGGCAGGAATATTACCTAAATGATGTACTCTTCTCAGGGCATCACACCTGGAAGCAGTGGTGTCCGTCTGCTCCCTCTTTGTGATGGTAATTTTGATTGTTTGGTCAAGGTGTTGTCTGATTTCTTCACTATACAGTTAATTTTGTATAGTTACTATTTCTCCCCTGCAACTAGTAAGCAAGTGGTAGAGAGACATTTTGAGACTTTACAAATATCCCACTCTGCATCAAGAATTTCCCCTAGATTTAGTATCCATTAATGATTCTAGTGTGATTCAATTTTTATTATGTTGGTTGAAAAGCAATGATTTTCAAACTCCAGTATTTTCTCTACCTTTATAAGTCAGCACTCAGCATTCTGCTATATGCGAGAGCCCTCTTTTCTCCTCTAAAAGTTTTTTTGCCCATTAAACTTAATCCTTCTCTGCACCTACTTTTTCAACTAATTTTGTGTGTGCTCAGATACTTCTGTGCATGTAGAAAATACACACACACACACACACACACACACACACACACGACTTTGCTCTTTGCCTCTTAGAAATTCAATAGTTTCTAAGGGGAGTGGCTCAGCCTTGGCATGTAGAGCGCTGCTATTTTGCTGACCTCAGAGGATTCTGGCTATGGCCAGATGAAGATGGGAGTAGTTGTCATGGTGCTGAGAGTATAGGAGGCTTTGGGAGGGAGCACCTCATATTACATGCCTTCTCCTAGACTTTCAGGGTCAGAAGGTGTCTTAAAAGTTACTTATGCAGGAAACCATCAGCATCCTAGAGGAGAACACAGGCAGCAACCTCTCTGGCCTTGGCTGTAGCAACTTCTTACTAGACATGTCTCCAGAGGCAAGGAAAACAGAAGCAAAAATGAACTCTTTGGCTTCATCAAGATAAAATGCTTCTGTACAGTGAAGGAAACAATCAACAAAACTGAAAGGCAACCTATGGAATGGGAGAAGATATTTGCAAAAGGCATATTGGATAAGTTCTATGAAGAACTAATCAAACTCAGCACCCCAAAAATAAATAATCCAGTTAAGAAATGAACAGAAGACGTGAACAGACATTTCTCCAAAGAAGACAAGCAAATGGCTAACAGACACAAGAAAAGATGCTCAACATCACTGATCATCAGGGAAATACAAATCAAAACCATGATGAGATACCACTTCACACCTATCAGAATGGCTAAAATGAACAACTCAGGAAACAATAGTTGTTGGCAAAGATGCAAAGAAAGGGGAACCCTCCTACACTGTTGGTGGGAATGCGAACTGGTGCAGCAATTCTGGAAAACGGTATGGAGGTTCCTCAGAAAGTTAAAAATAGAATTATCTTACAACCCAGCAATTGCACTACTAGGTATTTATCTGGAGAACACAAAAATACTGATTCAAAGGGGTACCTGCACCCCAATATTTATAGCACCACTATCAGCAATAGCCAAACTATGACAAGAACCCATATGTTCATCAACTGATGAATTGCTAAAGAAGATGTGATACACACATACCAAAAAGAATGAAATCTTGCCATTTGCAATGATGTGGATGGAGCTAGAGTATATTATGCGAAGGGAAATAAGTCAGAGAAGGAAAAATACTCTATGATTTCACTTATGTGTGGAGTTTAAGAAATAAAAAAACAGATGAACATAGGGGAGGGGAAGGAAAAATAAGATAAAAACAGGGGGGAGGCAAACCATAAGAGACTCTTAAATACAGAGAACAAACTGAGGATTACTGGAGGGGGTGGGTAGGGGGGATGGGCTAAGTGGGTGATGGGGATTAAGGAGAGCACTTGTTGTAATGAGCACTGGGAGTTAGATGTAGTGATGAATCACTAAATTCTACTCCTGAAACTAATACTACACTATATGCTAACAAACTTGAATTTAAATAAAATCTTGGAAGAAAAAATAAAAAAATAAAATAAAGTTTGAGTTTTTGGGATATTAAAAAAAAGTTATCTAGGCAATCCTGGCCCTGGATAAAATGAAAGTTAGCACCTTAGAGGTTTTCTTACATAAAAGAGCACTACCAACCATTGCATTTAATGAGAAGAAACTGTATTTCAAGTAACACCCCTAATTATTTAAATTGATTTACATTAAAAACCAAATCAATATATTTGAATGTGTAATATGATTTCTTAACGCTTTTCTGTTATCTTAATGCTTTCTGTTATTCTGCATTTTCTTTTCATGCTCTTCTGTTGAAGAGATGTAATATCAGCTTCTTTTTAAGGCCTTATTGGCCCCTTATTATTTGAAAACAGTGGAAAGAAGACTGAGCATGTCCAGGCAGTGGGTCAGTTATCCATTCGTTCATTCCTTCCTTCCTTCCTTCATTCATTCATTCCTCTCTGACACAGAGGTTTGGGAGGGTGTCAACAGAAGATGCAGCATTTTCAGAGAAAGAGCCAGGCTGACCTTAAAGCTTATTTCTAGTCCCTGTTCTGGCTGATTTTATCAGCACAAGGAAGGAGACAAATTAAGGAAACCTGGGTCCTGGGGATGCTGGGCAGAGCCTGCTGCTGTATCTGTGTTGCCCTTAATTCCAGAAAATTCACTCAACTGCTTTCAAAACCAGCTGGATAAACCCAGAAAACAGCCTGCTTCGTCCTTGGATGTCGCTGAGAGAAACTAGCATTTTGCAGGAAGGAAAATACGGCTTGCAAAAAGAAAGGCCGGAAGTGTTTTGGAGAGTGAAACTAAAGTTCTTTTTTTCATTTGTTCCATCAAAGTTGGGAAATTCTGGTATTGTGCAGCCTGGGAGTGAGGCTGTGCGGCTTTGGTCTGGCTTGAAGATAAGTCCCTCTCTTGCAGCCGGAAACTTGGTGGGCTCCAGCAGGGAGGCACCCCCAGGAACTTGGGGATGACTTGCCGGTCACCTCAAACAGGTCTGGTGCTGCGCCCCATGTGGCCAAGTGGCAGTGTTGACCCCTCCCCAGAACCCCTTTGAGACTTTCTGCTGCAGGCTGAGGGCAAGGGGTTTGGGAGTGGAGTGAATGTGGTGGAGCATGCACAAAAGATGAGGACCCTAGGCTATGTTTCAGTCTTACATTTAATAATATAAAATGTTTCTGTAGGCCCAAAGTAAAAATTGTCAAGAGAGTATACTCAGAGGAGGCTCCATTGCATTCTTGCCCCTCTTCCCTTTCCTCCGTAGATTACCTTTTTTTATTAGTTTATTTTCTATTTACCCTGTTGTTACTTTTGAAAAAAACCCAGCCATCTGTCCCCTTTATTATAAATGAGGTGCCCCGTTAAAATACTGTTTTTCGCTTGACTTCCTTCATGTAACGGGATCTTCTGTACAGAAATTATCTTCTGCATCCTGCTCCACAGCTCTTTCGCCCACTTCCTAGTGGTGGACATTAGAGTTATTTCTGGTCTTTCGTTATTTCAAATAATGCTGCAATGAATAAATATCTTTGTGCATATGTCGTATTATATTTTTGCCACTGTGTCTTTGTGAGCCTCCTCCTCTGAAAGGAGAGAGATGATTCTCTTTTTTGTCACTTGCTGCTGAACTTGCTGGGGATTAAGTGTCTGTTCTTTGCATCAAGTCCAGCTTTTTGACTCTCATCCTAACTGTGTGGATTTCCTGCATTTCATTCATTTCCTGTTTCCTCAACAGAGGGTTTCTGGGCAAGATCAGCCCATGAGGAATTATGGTAGATGTTTCTAATACACTTTATATAACTTGGATCAGTATGGCAGGAATAGAAACATATGACAGTTACCAAGCAATTTGAGATGTTTTGAGGGAGAAAGGTAACAAATTAGTGGAGAATTCATTTCTTATCTCATTTCAGGCATGGATTCTACCAGGCTTTTCTGTGGGAGAATGGAGAGAAATGGGTGGTTTGTACTCTGAAACCCTTGCACCACAGCATCTGGGGAATGCTGGCATCTGCTCTCCCTCTACCCTTCAGAATTAGATCACCCTCTGTAAGGAGGGAAGGAACACTTGGTAGGGCTGAAACCCACAGGCCAGCATGACAGAGCAGAATGTTGACTCTGGGAACATCTGGTGTAGTGTGGCTCCAGATACTGCTTGTATTTTTCAGAGTGAGAGATGACAGAGGGAGGGACTTGATAATGATGTATTTAGTGCCTTGGATCTTTGCCCCAAAATCATAACCTTAGGAAAATATTACAGAATCTGCTACAGAGCTAAACGGCTTATGAACACATTTTTGGTGTAGTCTCCCTGTGATATGTAAAGTTTATCAGAGGCCATTCCTTTTTTTTTTTTTTTTTTTTTTTT